AAGAATAGAGCCATAATTTACATTCAAATTTGACCTTAACATCTGTCCTTTTTGTACTACTTTACTAAGTAGATGATAAGGGCCTGGTCTAGGTTGATGGTTCCTATAGTCACTGGTGTGCACCTATATTATCACACTCATTGACGTAAGCTGTTTTATTATATATTGTCTCTCCTATTATTAGACTGAGACTCTGAGAATGCAGGTCACACCTTGCAAGCTCACTACAATTTCATTACAGTGTCTACTTGATATGATTGCCTCTTCCTCATCCTTCCTCCTTTGCTGCTTTCTTCTCCTCCTTCTATGTTGATTAGTTTTATCCAAGCGTGAGTTACAGTGTTGTTGCCCATGAGGTCAGTGCTAATGAATCAATAAAATATATGAATAAAATGTCCTGAATTAGAAATGAATGTGAAACAAGGTTATGTATTGATGAAAACAAGACCGGTGAATCTTGGGAAGCTAAGTCTGGATTGTCCCCAGGAGCAGTGGTTCTCAGCTACTTTAGAAAACAGAATAATCACAAATAACAAGAATCAATTATTTTCATTAAAAAATGCTGATAAGGAATGAGTTATATCAGAATGAGGGAGTTATGTGCTGTTAATCTTTGCTATTTATAATCTTTATGTTACAGAATGCTCTTCCTAAGACTTGTTATGTTTTGGGAGGAAGCGGTTTTAATTCTCATTGGCTTTTAAAAAAAGCATTTATAATTTGCTCTTGACAAATTGTTATTTTTACAAATACGAATAGTTTTAACTCAAGTTTTTTTTTTTTTTTTTTTTTTTTTATTCTTGTGAAAGTCTGAGCAGCTCTTCTTAATTTTAATGCTATTTGACTAAAGGCAGCCTTACCTTAGAAGATTTTATGTATTCTTAAATTTCTCTGGTACTTACAAACTAGTGTTTTGTTTTGTTTTAAATGAGGAATTATCAATGTTTGTTGTTTTAGTAGTATTTCTCTTACTTTTGGATTTGTGGAATATGTAAGGTCTCTAGTAACATATGCTTCTTTACTCTTCCCTTTACAAACCTCAAATTATGCTTTACATTCATTTTTAGCTCCGAGATCAGTCAAGAACTGGCCCAACACTGTAGTTAGTGTTTCAGTGTGCTATGCCATCAGCCACTCCTTTTTTATAGAGTAACATCTATTTCACTGATTTAACTTGTGCTTGAAAAGGATTAAATATGCTAATCTGTTTTTAAATCATAATTATGAACCAATACATGTAAATTTATTTTAAACTCTAGGTGATATTATTGTATTGCATGAATTAATGCAACCATTCTAAGAATACTAGGTTGTAGGAAAAGTGTCTGTATATTATAATGCTTCAAAAGTGTTTTTTAGCCAAGCATGGTGGCACACGCCTGTAACGCAGCACACAGGGAGGCAGAGACAGGTGGATCTCTCTGAGTTCAAGGCCAGCTCAGTCTACAAAGTGAATTCAGTACAGCCAGGGCTGCCCAGAGAAACTGTGTCTTGAGAAAAAAAAAATATGTTTTTCTTTATATCTGGGGATTACTATTTTAGGGGAAAGTATGCATCTAGGTAGGTATTTAAAAGTAGTAAAAGACTTGACCTATATTATATAATCATCTGAGGGCCCTTGTAACAAAATTCCATTGGTTCATGGTTTTACCTTAATGGTATTTTTAATTTTTTTTTTAATTTTTTATTTTTTGCTATTTTAAAAATTATGATTTGTTTGCTTTTTATTTGCCTATTTTTTATTCTTATTTTTTTACATTAATTACATTTCATTTGCTTTGTATCCCAGCAGTAGCCCCCTCCCTGCCTCAGCTCCTCCCATGCCCCTCTCTAGGTCCACTGACAAGGGAGGTCCTCCTCCCCTTCCATCTGACCCTAGTTTATCAGGTCTCATCAGGACTGGCTGCAATGTCCTCTCCTCTGTGGCCTAGCAAAGCTGCTCCTCCCTCGGGAGTTGGGGGAGGTCAAAGAGCCAGCCACTGAGTTCATCTCAGAGACAGTCCCTTTTCTCCTTACTAAGGTATCCACTTGGATACTTAGCTACCATGGCTACATCTCAGTAGAGGTTCTAGGTTATATCCATACATGGACCTGGGTTGGAGAATCAGTCTCAGAAAAGACTCCTGTGCTCAGATATATTTGGTCATTGTGGAGCTCCTGTCCTCTCCAAGTCTTACTAACTCCCCCTTCCTTCATATGATTCCCTGCACTCTGCTCAAGGTTTGGTTATGAGTCTCAGCAGATGCTTTGATACCCTGCTAGGTAGAGTCTTTCAGAGGCTGTCTATGGTAGGCTCCAGTCCTGTTACTTGTTTTCTCCTACTTCCATTGGCCATCCCATTTGTCTTGTTTAGCTTCTTTAGGTGTATAGATTTTAGTTTGTTTATCTTATCTTTTAGGTCTAGTATCCACTTATAAGTGAGTATATACCCTGTGTATCTTTTTGCTTCTGGGATACCTCACTCAGGATGATCCTTTGTATATCCAACCATTTGCCTGCAAATTTCATGATTTCCTTGTTTTTAATTGCTGAATAGTATTCTATTATGTAAATGTACCACAATTTCTGTATCCATTCCTTTGTTGATGGACATCTGGATTGTTTCCAGTTTCTTGCTATTATGAAAAAAGCTGCTAGGGACATGGTTGAGCAAATGTCCTTTTTGTGTACTTCAGCATATTTTGGATACATGCCTAGGAGTGCTATAGCTGGATCTTGAGGGAGCACTATTCCTAATTGTCCGAGAAAGTGCCAGATTGACTTCCAAAGTGGTTGTACAAGTTTTTGTTCCACCAGCAGTGGAGGAGGGTTCCCCTTTGTCAGCATCCTCTCCAGCATGTATTGTCATTTGAGTTTTTGATCTTTGCCATTCTGATGGGTGTAAGGTGAAATCTTAGGGTTGTTTTGATTTGCATCTCTCTGATGGCTAAGGATGTTGAGCATTTCTTTAAGTGTTTCTCTGCTATTCTGTATTCCTCTACAGAGAATTCTCTGTTTAGCTCTGTTCCCCATTTTTTAAGTGGATTACTTGGTTTGTTGCTTTTCAGCTTCTTTAGTTCTTTGTATATACTCGATATTAGTCCTCTGTCAGATAAAGGGTTGGTGATGATTCTTTTCCAATCTGTAGGCAGTCGTTTTGTTTTGATGACAGTGTCTGTTGCTTTACAGAAGCTTTTCAGTTTCATGAGGTCCCATTTATTGATTGTTGCTCTTAGAGCCTGTGTGGAGCAATTGGTTACATGGGAACAAGTACCTTTATTTGAAAAAGCTATTCTAATGTGAAAATTGACTAGACAACTAAGACAACCTGGAACTTTGGATCAGTTTCTCTTTCATGAGGGTGGAACTTGCACAGAAAAGAAGAATAAGCACAAGAAGAGATTTGGGCTTAACACTGAGTACTTTGTGGGTCTCTTTCATGGATGGCTTAAAATAACATCTATTTTCATTGATCCTAGGTTCTTACTGACTGCTTTCTCCAACTGTTCACAGCAAATGCTTGGATTTTATGCACTAGGCATTACTACCGTTTATGGCTAATCTTCCCCTAACTAGCTCAATAAAGATGAAATGGACCACTTTTTCAGTGAAGAGGACAAAGAGTTTATTTAAAGCATTTTTTCCAATAAAATAACTAGAGCCATCTTTCTAGACTCAATATTTCTTTTAAATTTTAAAATTTCTTTTATATGCACACACAGGGTATTAGATTCCAAGGCATTTTCAAGCAGCATGTATTTTAGTAGATTTTCTTCTTTCTTCATCTTTTCTACTCCTCTGCCCTGACTTTCAGTCCTTTCTTCTATCCAGTTTCATTTCCTAAATTACACATGTGCTTTTGCCCACATATCCTTGGTTTCTGTTTTTACCTTTCTTGTTTTCTTTCTAGTTTTGTAGGCTTTGATCACATTTATAGCTGTATGAAATTTAAAAGAAAGTGGAAGAGTCTGGAAAGCATAATATTAACAAGGTATCCTGAAATCTTCCATGTTTTAAAGTTACATTTGTAAAATTTATTTTGCATGTGTCACTGTGCTCACGTGGAAGACAGAGGACAACTTGTAGGAAGTGGTTCTTTTCTTCTACTGTCTGGGTCCTGAGGATTGAATGCAGATGTTCAGGCTTGGTGGCAGGCATGCTTACGAGCTGAGTCATCTTACCTGCCCTTATAATATTTTGGATTGCTTGCATACTTGTGTGATATGTGTGTGTTTGTGCAGGCATCCCTAGTATGCATGTGTCATGGTGTAATTGTGGATGTCAGAGGATCACAACTGTGGGAGTTGGTTCGCTCCTTCACCTTTTCTGGTCAGGGTTTCTGAGGCATGGCATACTCCAAGTTACCTGTCTCAGAGCTTCTGGGTGGTTTTCCTGTCTTTGCTTTCTATTTCCCCTTGGCTGGATTTCAGAAGTGTGCTGATACATCTGGCTTTTTATGTGAATAGCATGAATGGAACTCAGGTCATCAGACTTGCACACTTTTATCTGCTGAGCCATCTCATTGCCTTCTCAGTTGTTTTTTGTTTTATTTCAATGTGTGGGGGGGAGAAGAGAGAGGCAAGGGAGAGAGGGAGAGAGAGAGAGAAGTCATGTTGTGCAGGCTGGTCTCAAACTTATGTAGCCAAGGATTACCTTGAGCTCTCCATTTTCTTTCTCTACCTCCTGAGTGTTAGTATTACAAACATGTGCTACCTACCACATTAGGTTTATGTAGTATGGAAATAGACTCCAGGGTTTTGGGCATGCTAGCCAAGTGATGTTCCTACTTCTAGGAGATAGTAGCAAAGATAAGATTTCATATATGTTCATTTAAAATCAGACTTTGAAAAAAACAATGGTATCTTTTTGCATTTCACAATATAGCAGCAGAAAGGGTTTATATAAATATATTAAGCAAATTGAAATATTTAATATATTTCCTGAGATCTCCCAAATACTTTTCAGGAATTGGAAACAGAATCCTTTTACTTACAGTGGTCTTTTTGATATGTCTTTTTCAGATGGGAAAGTTGACAACCATGCCTGCAGGTCTGATATATGCATCTATAAATCTACATCTGGCCAAAGAAGAGGAACCCAAAAAGCAGCTAGTGAGACCAGAACAGGTAATTTGCCTACAAAAGTTTACAAATTTTGTGTGATATAAAGTTATTGGAAAAACTATGTAGGTGTTTTTATCTTTGAAGTCACTTATATATTTTGTAAGTATAAAGAAATAGTTATGCGGTATTGAAAATATACAGTATATTTAATAGAAATACAAAATTTTTACTTCAAAAAATGGTTATTTTTTAATGGCAAGTCATTAATAATGGGATTTTAAAAATGGAAGCACATAGCAAAACAGCATAAGTGTTGGAACACCATTTTCCTAGGCTTCTCCAAATTGGATACTACTGGTTATATGCATTATGTGGTAGGGGAGGCACTTGAACTGGCACACTCTTATCTTCTTTTCAACAGTCCTGAAGATACCTGATAAACCAGTGTCAGATGAAAGGGGAGGAGGTCCTCCCCAAGCAGTGGACTTGGAAAGGGGCAGGGAGGAGATGAGGGAGGGAGGGTAGGGTTGGGAGGGAATGAGGGAGCAGGATACAAAGTTAATAAGCTGTAAATAATAATAATAATAATAATAATAATAATAAACAAATAAAAAAAGAAAAGAAAGAAATATGAAAAAGAGTGTTCTGCTTTCCACATTTACATTTGTAATCTATGCTGGACAGGTTTTTACTTGACCAACACTATTCAGATTTGTACCTTCTGTAGTGGCTCATTTTCTAGTTAGGTGGTATCTCCCAATTGTATTGGGATAATGAGAAGCAAGCATAGTACTGTGCTTTTTATAAAGGGCCTGTTTTTGTACATTCAGGTTCTTCTGAGTATTAATTACTCTGCTAGAAAGATGCAGGTCACTGGAGCGTCAATTCTTGATCTCTGTAGCAGAACATAGTTGATAGGTGGTGGCTCCAGAGCTATCAAACTCCAGTAATGAGTTATGTTCCCAGCAACTGGTGCTTGGTTTACCTCTCTTGGTGAACTTCCCAGACTGAGCTGAGCCTCCTGCTACTTCCACTCTTCTGGCTAGTGTCTGGTCTTACCACTTTCTCTGTACAAGTGCTTCCCAGGGCTCTCTCTCAAACTAGGGCTGTGGCAAGTGAAATTTAAGCTTTCTGGACTTATGGTTGTTTCCTTTTCTCAGGCCCTAAGGTAGATCAGTTTTAAATAATGAATTTTTTACCATGAGAGTGGCTGATTCCTGCCCTTAGGGTGACATATGGGATTCTTCTCCACTGCTGCCTTGTCCACTGGAGGAATTACTTTCTCATCAAAAGCTATAACTGGTTTTAGTGACTTGTGAGGGTTTTGGGGTTATCCTAGAAGTAGGTCATTCCTTTTTTTTTTTTCCACTGGGACTGTGTGGCTCACTTTTTGAAGTCATCTTTTGCTTCTAATTTACCAACAGTAAGTAATGCACATGGAGCTGTACTCAGCTTGACTTCTTTTCCATGAGTCTTCCTCTCCACCTCATACTTTACAGGTATCTTCTCACACACTGTCCTAGTTTGCTTTCTTGACCAAAAGCAACTTGGGAAGGAAAGGGTTTATTCATCCTTACAGTTTACAATCTCTCGTGAAAAAAAGTCAGCGCAGAAACCCAAGGCAGGAATTGAAGCAGAGTCCGTGGAGTAATGATTGCTTCCTTCCTTCCTTCCTTCCTTCCTTCCTTCCTTCCTTCCTTCCTT